TGGTTACTTAGCTGCTTGTGAAGGATCTGTCCCTGAAGCTGGTTAGAGATGAATGGTGAGTTTGCTGCTTGGCATGCTGGTTGAAAGCGATAGTTATTTATGTATCTACCATTATATAGATTACAATTTAATACATTAACATGTAAATTTAATTACCATAATTATAACAGTACTATTAACATTATACAATAGTTATTAGTATAAATCTTAAAATTACGAAAAAGAAAAAAGTCAAAATTATAACAAACAGATGAACCATGCACTTATTATATTATTATTCAACTTGCACTTGAATTTAGCAGGCTCTCCTCAATAACTTGACTAAATTGATATACGAGATATATTATGTTAATCTATTTCAGAGTAGAATACAGAACACGTCGACTGTAAGTGACTGTTACATATTGTTTAATAACGTGCTATGCTTGTAAGTGTTTACGGAATGTTGGAGTAATGTCTGCTTAAATCAACGAGAACGATTACCGATATTCACTCTCCCAGCGCTGTGTTGACGTTCCTTATAAAAAGGCACCGCTTTCTTAAAGCTTTACTATTGTGAGTGTTGGCTGTATGTAGCAAATAGAGATATAGTGTACGATGATTAGGTAACCGGGTTTTCCTACAAGCAGCACAATCTCTGGTCAAAATTTGGACAGAGATATCTCCCTGCACAATTTATTTTTTAACTGGGATGGTGATAGGTTGTACGCTCCGTATACGTTTTGTGTTTTTGGTTGAATGCAGAGTCGAATGTGGTTGTTGGGAATATCATTGATTGATGTAATCGGGTCAAGTTTTATTTTCTGTATTTGATGTTTGGTGATTGGAAGTGGGTGCTTATTGATTGTTGGATGGTTATTGGGACCGTATGTAATGTTTATCATCTATAGTGTTTAATTTTTGCATGGTTTTACCATCTAAAGCAGTGGGGGGATGTGGAATCGCTCGCGTGGAGCAGCAAAACTTTATTCGACAACGAGCAGTCATTAATCTGGAGACGGCGGTTGCTGATTGTAGCAGTTTAAGTTATAAAAATTTTATTTATCGAGGATATGACTGTATGCTGGCGAGGATGGACGATGTTTTCTACTATTATTGTTAGCATATATTGAATTGAACCAAAATCTATCAAGACTTAAGGTGATTTTATCTTATTTGGCGTATCACAGAATAAAGCGAGCATTTATTTTGCCACCAGCTTTGTTATACAAAGAAACTAGTTATAATGTTATCTGTTCACCAGATTTATTATTATCAAATGTAACCGAGTTTAATTTATTAGTCCTCATATTGTCGTATAAAAGTTTATTACGTGATGTTTAACATCTAGACATATGGGGACTAGACTATCAAAATGATGGTACTTGGTCTGGTTACACAAAATGGGATTTTTGCATAGGCACTTTCTCAGCAATCTTTTCTACGTATCTTGGTAGTTTTTATTCTAAGTACATTAGTAAAATCATTCACTACAGCAAGTTTAAGTTAATAATATTGGGGCTACCTCATGTAGATCAGACCCCAGATTTTGAAATTCGACCCCAAAATTTGTGCAAATCGTATGATCTTATTATTACTATCACATAGTAATAGTTCCCGTCTTCTCTAATTACCGTCTAATAACCAAATAAACATAACGAGGATAGCAACAGCAAACACACAGCAACACCTGCAATCACAGCAACACCTATCATCGCTCATTGGCAGATAACAATTTGGGGTCTATCTTTGGAGGGTCCATCACTGTTAAAAACGATCCCCAAATCTTTGTGATCAAATTTCTCATGATCGCCCATCATGCAAGTACCATCATTTTGATAGTCCAGTCCCCATATTCGAGGATGATTTACTGTTTTACGAAAGAAAATTGTCTGCCCTGGAATTTTGCGTTCTTTTATTGTTTTATGGTGTGCCCTGGCCTGGACCACGTTCATGAAATATTTCATCATGCAAAACATCGGATGATACAAATGTTGTGAAACCTTGTCATTATACCGATATACACTAACCTGTTACTTGTTCGACCAACGAGGTTATTTTCACCATATGGTCAGGTTACTCGATTAATACACAAATACCTCTCATTTCTGTCTTTTAAATTCTTATTTTCAAGGAAAAAGGGGTCACACGCCCTGCAGGCATGCCGATCCGCCGGGATGAATAGAAAAAATGGAACGCTGTCAACATTAGAACTTTTCGATCTGCAGCAAAAAATGGAATTTTTAATAACAACGTTGTGACATTTGTATTTTCAAGGCCCCCTGATTTTCATGTCATGATATAATAATTGCACAACAATTGTTAATCATTTATATTCAATAATGTAGTAACATATAATAGAGTTTGTTCATTAGTCATAGGCAATAAACAACAGAGTCGTGACAAACAAATTTTCGTAGATTAACTTTTTTGGTATTTGTATGACCAAGTCTAGCTACCGGCGTGCAAGAAAAGATTAATCCTTCGGCATTCTACCCAATAATAGTCAAGTTTACACTCAATGCAATGTACATGCTAACCATCAATGAAAAGAGAGTTCCAACCGGAAAGACAGGTAAATTACTCCGGACGACTTCTCATTACCACATATTTCTACCAACCTAAATTCAAACCGATCTTTTTTTAGAATACCAGCTACTTTCTCTCTTGCGTTACCCAACCTTTTCTGTAATGACAGCAGCAACATGTGAGATGACAAATGAGTTAGATAATATTAACTAATAATACATGGTACTTCATTTGCGATTTCGATGTGATTAAATCGACATATTCATTTAATGTACAAGGACAATACTTTGTTAACGGAGAAGCAATTTCGACTAGTACAAGAATAGCTCTTTGCAAAAACCATGTAAACATGGAGATAATAATCGATACTCTAATACAAACCTTTGGCCTGTTTTAGCACACACACCATTTAGTTTATTATTATATTCATCACGATGTCAGGTCACAATGTTTACCGATATACGAATCACGATTGGTTAAAAAGCGATTTATTACGATATTATACTCGTTGTTTATCCCACATTTACACCAGAAATGGGTAGATCGTCAGAGAGTAATTGTTGTGTGGATCTGTGGTTACAAATATGAAAACAGTACTAATACATGATTGTCTGTTACGATAATTCGAAGCGAAATAGACAAGAGCAGAATTTAATTGTCCATATAGGGGCGCAAGTCACTGTAGTTTCTTTATATTATATACGCAATCTGTTGACTTTGTAATTATACGATGTCGTTGTATAGATCTTAAAATCTTATTAATCTATTCAATGAAAAAAGTAATGAGTTTTTTTGACATCTTTAAAGCAGAATTAAATAGCAAAAAAAAAAAAAAAACAACCTCTGATACGATATCGCTCTTACAATTTTCCGTCTTTTACATATTGAGCCTGTTTAGATATGAATTAAAAAGAATTTAGCATTTATCATCAATACCAAGGAAGATGTGATAAAAAAAAAGATATTTACTTATAGTTCATATGGGTTCGAGTTAACAAACGCCATTTGCTTTCGCCTTGATTATATAAGCGTTTGCAACGGTTGTACAAATATTTTCGACCAACTTTTCATGGTCAAGTGTTGTTGTGCACAATGTCTTTGAAATTTTTTCAATAATTACAAAAAAATACTAATAACAGCAAAAGAACCAAATAAAACGCACATAGTTATTACAATATGAAAGTAGTTTTATTTATTCATAGTCATCAACTCGGATTGTCGCAACCTTAATTTTTGTCCTTGTCTTTTTACGGGATAATATCAGTATTCTTTATCTTATTGGTAATTGACACAAATTTTAAATTTATATCTCGTCATTGATAAATATAAACTGTAAAATAGTCTAACATTGATTGGCCATTTTAGCTATCACACGGGGAAAACGCTATTAATTTTAATTTTGGAAGTGGCATGCGGTAATAGCATAAATATAGTATCTTATTATAGATGCATTTACGAATAATTATAAAATAACGCAATACCGGCTTGATATATCTACGTAATTCTCTAGTAATACGTATGCATATTAAACAAATACACGTGTATTAGTACATTCTGTCCATTAAAAAAAAGCGTTCTGAATTACAATTCTAATTTTGTTTTGCGTTCTGAATTTTTCTTCTATATTAATATTCATACTTACATAAATAAATTCTTTGTCTTACCAGCTATTACTAATTTTATTGCAGAAATATCCTCATCTAATAAAAACGGTGTTAAACATTAATTTTGATTACGTGGGGGTCGGGGGCTGAAAAGTTTTGCGCGTAGACTTTTATTCCAGAAATTTCATAATAATTATCGATACAACCATTTCATTCTCTCAAAGTAGTCTCCATTGATGTCCATGCAACGGTGCAGACGATTCTGTCAACTCTGGAAAGACTCTTTTTATAGCCGGCTTTTGGGATGGTTTCAACAACTGCCTGAACAGCCCTTGTCAATTTTCGACCTTATCAAATTTTTTTTCCTTCAGTTGTTTTTTATTTGAGGAAATAGAAAAGAATTACAAGGAATATGGTCTGGACTGTACGGCAAGTAGGGGGAAAGTTTCACTCGTTCGTTATGAAGATACTCCGTCATAATCGTTGTCTTATGTGGCGCAGCATTGTCATGACGTCACGAAACAGCTGTTCTTTCTTTTCTTCTGGAGGCTCAGCTCACTATGCAAATGCAGGAGATATTTGCAGAAAAATGCTATTTTTGTTGGCTAAATTCTTAATATAAATGTCGGGTTATTGCTAACAAAATCCTTGACCTTGGCAATTTTTCTGACGTCACTGCTTTGCGAGGGAACATCCAGAATGAGCCTGTCTTTGCTTACTTCTTACTCCTCTTTGAATGTAGCAATCCATCGTCTAATTGTACAATGCTTGTTCCTTTACTACATTTACCGACTTTTCGTAGATTAAAGTTGTATTTTCTGTCATTTTTCTAAGAAGCAAAAACAAAGTGTCGTTAGTATTAGCTCATGTTTTCCCAGTTGTTTTACTATGCTTTACCAAAAAAATGGTTTCTCGACAATGAGATAATGAATTTGCCTCTACTTTTTTTTTTCATTTGTTACGTAAAAGTATGCGCTTTTTTATAATTACTCCAATTTTGGTTAAGCTGTTGCGATTTCGAGTTACAAAGTCACATGCAAAACTTTTCAGCCTCCTCACGCATGTGGTTATTGCTGTGTGCTAATGGTGAAAATAGCATTCATGTTTTGTATTAAATTTGGAATAGCAAGTAATTTCGCTTTATAATATTAGCAGTACGCGTCCACCCTTGGTAATTTAAGCTAAGCGATATTAATTAGTATCAAACAAACAGTAATAGGATTTGCAAGTTCAATACGTTCACGTGACAGAATAATATCAATACCTAATACTAGTATTTTCTGACAAGTAGCTTGATACACCTGTTTGTATTACTATGTTTTGCAATAGATAATAAGACTAATATTGTAACTATTGATAATAGTTATTACACATACTATTTGCGCCAATTCGTTGTTGTAAAACATTTGTAATCCCGTGTTGCTTATGATTCTAAAGCAGAGAAAGATGGCATTTGAATAATAATACTACTAACAAATCAGTGATTTTTACATTACCAGTTGCGATCGCAAAGCATCAAATACTAGTGAGGTGGGCGTTGATTATGGGACCAAATTGACCATTACTTGTACAAAAAACATCAAACCCTAACATGAATGTTTCTAAATGCTAATTTTGTATTGTCCATTATATATACATTATTTGTCTGTTTTGACTCATCCCTGGAACGTCTTTCACATTGGCGAATTTAATGTGAATCCAGATTCGCAGATTATAATCTTAGACATTTATCAGTTGATCTTGGAGAGCTAACCTAATCATATAACCGTATCAAAGTGCAGTCATTGCGTTTTGAATGATACAATGCCTAGTATATATGCTTATTTATATAATTGACAATAAAAATAGTATACCTGCATTTGCAACAGCATTCGTTTAATATCACGATCCTTATAAGACAGACATTATTTTATCCGCGTCAGCTTATCAGCTGTTAAGAGAGTTTTAGAATTTGATTGACGAGAATCCATGTTGTAAACATGACCTACTACTTATTCGGACAAGTATAAATCGTAGAATAAAATCTGGTAATGAGAAGAATACTAAAATCGCGAAGTATGACTCAACGAATACTTGATTTCTATTGGTTACTAAAGCGTTATAACTCTCATAATAAGATTTGAGTTACCACTAATAAAAGATTATTATTGATATTATTTTCTTGTTATCATTGCTGAGTGGTAAACCTAATGTGTTTGCTCATCTTTGATCCCGTCTAAGGCTATCCGCGTGCAATAAGCAACGTTTGCGCCTGAGACTGAACAAACTCGCATTTCATTTTCCGCATTACCCTTCAAATGTTTCGCATTGACGATAAAGAAAAAGAATAAACGAAAGATGAGAAACAAATTAAGATTCATGTGACGACGAAATCATACTTTCGGGAAAATTTCCAATCACCACAGCCATTAAATGTTACTGTAGTATATGTAAACCATCGGCAAGATACCTCTTTTCCAAAGCAGTTTCGGTTTAAAATTTACTTTTAATCCGATCTATCCAAATTACGGTATTTTGTCATGTGTGCCATTTCCACAAATACGTCGGCGTTCAAGTATTAATATGTAACAAGTTCGTACTCTACTTGACATTGTTGACTTGCACTCCCTATCCTTTTTCCCAGGTTTGAATTTCTTACCAAAGCTCCCACTTGGTACTGTAGCCATCCTTCATTGACTTTCCGATGCCTGGCCCATCGAATGCTATCACAATTGACAAAATCACCATCTCTCTTTCACATCCCAGAATCTAATGAGCATGGAAGGGCAACAATGGAAATGAGGACGATGCAGAAGAATGAGCGTTTGTAATAATGGAAATTTTCATCGAAAATTACGTTGTCTTTTAAACTACATGACGGCCATTATTGATCATTTCGTTATAACAAGAAAAGACACCTTTGACGATTCCATAAATAGGGATCAAATGCATAACTGCTTTTTTTTTCATTTGCCGAATTAAACGATATTTGCAAGTTAGATAACCTTGATTGGTTCGGTACAAGCTAAAAAAGGAAAAGCGTATCACTATATTCACATGCAACATCTCATTTATCTGTGAAATATAGTTTATTATGTGATATGATATCATAAAATATATTGAATAACCCCCCAGTATTAATATATAAAAATGATAACTAAAATATGTATATAAAAAAACTGTGAAACTTCACGTGAAGGTATGTTTCTATAATCTTACTAATCTCGTTACTCAAATCTGTAATCATCACTATCTGTGGTAAAATTAAATAAGGGTTCAAGTTCTCCGAATATACTGTGGCTATTTCCATTATTTGCATACTCATCGCACGGAACGTCAGTTTCCATTGTCGGTACAGTTGTAGATGATAATTCAGGAAATAATAGATAGTCACTCGAATATGTGTCATCTGTCAAAAAAATGTCATTCGTTAGAGGTATATCAATCGTTGGAGAGACATTGCTCGAAGATATCTCGTTTGTTAAAAAAAAGTCACTCGTTGGAGAGACATTACTCGAAGATATGTCGTCTGTAATAAACATGTTATTCATTGGAGAGACAATGCTCGAAGTTAAGTCGTCTGTAATAAAAATGCTATTCATTGGAGAGGTATTGATCGAAGGTATATCGTCTGTTAAAAAAAAGTCATTCGTTGGGGAGCCATCGTACGTCACGTCGTTACTTGGAGTTGAGTTGATGCTTGGGGATGCGTCACTGCTTAGAGTTGCATCACTACTTGAAGATATATCAGTTGGGGGATATTGAATCAAATCCATAAAGACTATTTCGGAGAATTCGTTGTCTGATGTAACGTCGTCGTCCGCATCGGTATCCATACTCAAGACTTTTTCATTGAACGTTGGCGAAAGCTCGTAACTTTCTACTTCCGCTGATGTTGATGCAAGAGTATTATTATGGTCGAGTTGGTTTTTACCCTTCTTATTGGCTTTTCTACTAGCATTAGGGTGAAATCGGTAGCCGGGAAATAACTTTCTGTGAATTCTGGTGGCCGATTGGGCAAGAACAGTAAAAAAGTTCTTGATCGTATTGCTCTCCTTACGCCATTTAGCACTGGCTATACGCGATATCTCGGCGTTAGTTAGTTTTTGACCCTCAATCTTCAGTTTAGCTTGTAAGTCCTTCCTATAAAGAATAAACGCGTTCTGCTCTCTTCCAATTCCTTTGTCTCCACGCTTTTTTTTAGAACCAGCCAATAGTTCTTCAAGCGATAAGGTTGTTAGGAGTACCCCGTATTTACGTTTAAGCTTTTTTACTTCTTGTCTAATGGCTCTACTCTGTACAATTTGAAAGTCCGGGCTATCAATGTAATTCGAATTTTGGGACATTTTTTAGACCAGACTTTTGTATTGAGATAATTAAAATTTGTAAAAACTTGTTTGAAAATTACTGTGGTGTTTGAATGCTTGTAAGGTCTTTTCAGTCGGTTGTTGTTCAGACACAGGAGGAAAAAACCTTGCCAATTTATAAGTTTTTCAACCAGGTAGATTTTCTACTCCACCCGCAGCATACCTTTGTTATCCTTTACATGAAAAAATACTTTTTTTTTTTCGGCTTTGCCAAGTTACGACAACAGCCGCGCGTCATTATTCCATAAGAAATATCTTGTTTCAAATCAATGGCTGTTATGTCTCGCTCCATAAGCGATCGGTAAAAGCAATTTTCGGATTTTGATTCAAGTAGACTTACCGTTTAAAGGCAGCGAACTGCGGTATACTCTTACAATGCAGTTTATTCTACACAACGATTGGGTTATTTTACCCAGTTTGTGTTCTTATATTTAGAATCGGGGTTAGAACCGCCTCACCCGCATAGAATTCACGAATAAGCGGTTGTGATCGTTAAAGGTGAACAAATGGGTGTTCACACAACCTATGCGACCTTATTTGCTACCGTATGGTAACATCGTTTCTGTTTCGGTTAGATCAGATCATCGTGGTATATATTTAGACGAGGATCTTGCGTAGATGCTTCCGCGTCAAGGCACGATCTGTCAGGAAACCTATAAGCTCCGATTTGCACGGCTGTCATTTTTCTTGTTCTCTCAACTCCGATCACATCGTTGTTATTTATTTTTGTCACCCAAATGATGAAGGACAAAAGATTTACATGGAAATACAAGATTAATGGAAGTCTTGCTAATTTTTGAAAACAATAGAATTGGCGATTGTAGATTATTTGGTCATTCTTAAAGAATAGACCAAATTTGTAATTCAGTCATGACGCCTACTACGACTCACGCAACAAAGAACCATGTTATATTAACGTGATATAAAAAATTCATTAAATCTATATATTTTTATACAACTCGCAATAACGCAGCGCAGCCAAACCATTTAAATCGTACTAGCATGACTCCTTATATGCATCATATTGCATATCGTAATCGGTCAAGTGCCAATTCCCGGTGAAAGGCAAAAAACTATGACTTTCATTTGTTACCCTCTCTTATTATTTAGTTTTAAGGGAAGGTCATTAGGGTTCATTTAATTTACGAAATGGATAACAGCAGTGTGGTGCGTTAAAAAATGTACGTATATTTTCTTAGATAAGACTGCCAATGGGAGAAAAAAAACATAGTCAAATGAAACAACAAACAAACAAACAAACAACAATAACGGACAAATATTTTGAGTTAATATATGTTTATTCTTCTTATTATTACTATTCTCATTAGTATATACGGTACATTCCTTTTTTTAAATTTGTTGCCTTATTTATCTTTTCAACGCCACAACAGAAAGTTGGGCACAATTCATAAACTCCGTTATAGCACGAGTTTTCCATAATAATTTATCGCGAGGAACGTTTGTTAATTTCAATAGTAACATGTATGAATCTATTTATTACAAACTGTAACAAAAAAAAAGCTCTTTTATAATGCGTTTCCATTGTACCGTAGATTCTATTATAACCGTATCACAGCAATTAATGTAACATTTAGTAGTCACACATAGTCAGTGAGTTGGAAAGCGTATGGTTGATACGTTTGATTAGTCAATTACCAAGAGGCAAAATAACCGAGATGATAGTTTAGTACACATTTTAACATCTGGACCATAAAAAGAGAGAAAGAATTATTCCGCATAAGTTTTTTTGAAACTCGTTTCATAGCCAAATATTTTAGGTTAAAACAACTCGACATTATTTCTTAGATCTTGGCAATCGCCTTGCGATTACTTGTGTAGACTCTTTGCTCTTCATATTATTTCCAGCATGCAACAACATTCGGAACCTAAAACCAAGTTATAAAAGTTCGCATATAATCCGGTTGACTCGTCGAGGAATAGGAAACAAAGAACCGTAAATTGCCCAATTTATAATGAATAGAAATAGACGAGAGATGAGACAGAAGGAAAGCAGAAAGTGACTGGAACGGGTTTCTGTCGAGGTCCAGGTTGATTATAATATTGTTTGCGTAAACTGCTAAATGATCATGTATCCTTAATAACTGTGGTAATGTGAACAGCGATGGGACGGCGTGATTATGCATAACACGGACGGTGGACCCTTATCTAGGCTTCTATTCTATTTGAATCGTCTATAAAAAATGGGTGTATGCCCACCCGTTCTTTATGCTAATATTAATATACCCTTGTTGCGATTAGCCAATCATCAGCGATTTGTAGTCCCTGAAATCTTTCACCCATGCGATCATACCAATAATTCAAACTCGTGCCGCATTTCCAAATAATTCTCTCTACAGACCCCATCACGTAAAATATAACACATCTTTTTTTTTTCCCATCGCTTATTCTTATCATCTCTTCTCAATATGGTTCAAGTAGACTCGTCGTCAACAGCGATAGGCCTATTATTCAACGCAGCGAAAGTATTGGCCGAACAACAAACCAACATGGAAATCGAGTCGGTTCATTTTATGGATGGTTGGGTACATCTGAATATGCGAGACATGATGATAGGAGACGTAGAGACTGCGGAAGAAGAAAATACAACCCTACAGAACCTAGCACAGCACGCAGATATTGGTGATCAAACGCATTATGGTCACCAAACTTTGGATCTGGACTGTGGGAGATACATGGGCGAAAATAATGACTACACGGATTGTGACCCAGTTCTAACTTTACAACAAACATCACATGATCAAATGCAGACAATTGATCAAGTTTCTAACTACGATATAGGAGATCTGTACGCTAACAAAGAAATAAACGAGGCAGAAATCAGAGTAGAGATCAATTATGTGAGACCACCATCTCCAATTACGTCTTCCCTTCAATCACTCGGTGCTTCGTCATCTCATTATGAATATCAAAGCTCGTCAATGATTGCGGGAGAGTTTGATGATATCAACGACGAGATTCAATCATCAAGCATCACGTCTCAACAACCATCAAGCGTCATACCTACTCAACCATCAAACACCGCATATATTCAATCATCCACCGCCACGTCTACTCTCGCTAAGTCTACTCGCGCTACATCTACTCGTGCCACGTCGACCCGATCATTGAAGAACAGCAAGCCTAAGCTTTCCAAAAGTAAATCAACGTCTGTTACTAGAACTACTCTGCGAAGACAACCACCTCGCAATGCACTATCATTATATGCATCGCATCCGTATCACCGGCTAAGAAGCAGAACGGCCTCATTTAACAGATAGTAAAGAAAAAATATGAAGGATCATCTATCCCAGCGTTTCGGTGTTTACGCAGTAATGACATATATTTCACCCTTCGAAAATGGAGAAACTGAAGAGATTCCTGAAAACGCCTCTTCAACTTGCCAAGAACGTTTGATGTGGACATTGTCTCAAAGGAAGTTAATACCAATTGGGAAATTGAGTCAGGGCACAATAAGTGTACGTAGCTGAAATTAATAGATGTGATTTTTAATGCTTTTATCAAATGCCAAATAAAATACTAAGATCGGTATAAACTTAAACTAAATACAAGACAGAATTGGTAATGATTCCATTTTAAGATCGCTAGGTCATCTTGAAAGTTATTCGACAAGTATACTATACCTCTCCTCAACTCCTCATTCAACTCTGGTCTTTCGGTGTTTTTGTTTTTGTTTTTGTCATTTTGCTTGCTATTCGACAAATAATGTAAAGATACAAATAAATGCTGTAACATTTGTTTTCTTCTAGTAAATGTTCCCCTCATCCTCTCCATCTTGGATGTTAGAAATATATAATCAATACGATTGCCGAATGCATGCAATGGCACTCACAGTCATTTGGTAGAGATATATGATGGGGAAATCGGATTCGAAAGATCTGTATACTGAAGATAAACTGAATGCACTCGTTGCGCTACTTTATCTCTTGGCAAGTACAAACTCAGAGGTGTAGTACATAATTATAGATGTGGTTATGCAAGTGACGACAATAAATTCAAGTCTCATTCTCCTTGTGCCCTTCATTGGACGAACTCATCATATGATATTTGGATGAGCAATGATAGCCTTTCTTGAAGACGTTCCCAGTGCCACTGCTCAGGTAAGTAAACTGGATTCATCTATGACATAATTTCACTCGTATCTCTTGTCCCCCATCAGAGACCGTAGTTTGGGTTTAGGCTTTTGTATAATTTGTATGGACGTAAGCATTCGATACCCGATGCAAGTTGTGAGACGCAAACCTTAATGCGAGTGCTAATCGATGACTGGGACCATACTCACCCAACACCTATCTTTGTATTACTGCAAAGGAACTTCGCAGAAGTTAAAGTGACGCCCTAATCATCCATATCGAGATCTTTACCTCTTCATAAGTGTATCTGGCTATTTATTATACGCAAACTCGTTTACCAAAAATTCTAGTCTGCCCCATAAAGGAATATAAGCACGATAAATAAAGAGTTTCGTAGTAATTTAAAGGATAATGAATCGTTTTTATATCCAGCACATCATACAAAAACCACACCATGTTCGAGAACCCATCACTATGAAACTTGTAGGAAAAACCCTCTATACAGTCTCAACCTCTTTATACGCGCATTTTCAACAAAAGCTGCATTGTTCCCGACTGTGACTTAAAGAGGGTCCGTTTTCCCGCACCATCTATTCTTGGCTAATGTTTGTTTGATTGGAATACTTTTTGCTTTATTCATTTACATTAATATAAGTTTTTCACACTAGCAATAAAGATATAGTAAATAAATAGTCAAAGGGCACAATCACATGACATAATGAAAATTTTTTTGTGCAGTCACACCTCCATATATATATATAGTCAACACTATTTTGGACGTTCGTATTAAATTATTTAGATTATTTGAGTATTGTAGGCCATTTTGGGCGTTGAACATTTTACGGAACGAAACGTATATGTTCTAAACCGATCTGGTCATCAGACCGATCTGAGATCTGATATATTCTCATTGGTCAATCTTGCGATTACCCCC